ATCGGAGCGCGAAGTACAGCTATAATTGTATGTAGTGCTTCTTTCTACTTTCCGCTCTTTCCTGATTGGGCCATTCTCTTTTTGTTCTTGCATTCTCAATCCTTTCACAATTGATCATGTTTGGCTTGATAATTACGAGTTTAACCTTTATTTCCTGCTTTTCTAGTTTTTTTTTCTGATTCATTTTTGCCGATTTTACCTCCTGCTCGCATGCGGATGTTATCGCTGAATTCTGGAACATTGAGATTTTTTTTGCTACTGCTGGAACTTAAGCCCTAAGCCGAGCCAGAACAATGTTCTTATCCTTGGTGGCGCAGCAACTGGCGCAAAACTTACTAACTGACTAACTGATGGTGAGCATCTTCAAGGAAACGTTCTCCGCATTCTGATGTCCCGATTTTGTATAGCGTCTAAATTCATCGTTCATTCGATCCCATAAGGAGATAGATAAAATGAGCGCTGACGAACCCTTTTGGGATTGCGGCACGTGTTTGGCTTTAAACAGTGTTGGGGTTGCCTCCTAATGTGTGAAGGATTTGTACAGGTATAAGAATAATTGGAATTAGTCGATCGGACAAAGGGGGTCGTATAGACGTCCTCGCTGAGGAAGGGGGGTCGTAAGATGTCGGTCAGACTCTGCGATTGCATCGCGCGATGCAGTCGCTCTTGCAATGTGCACAAGCGACGGGCGATTGGCCCCGCCCACATCGATGCAGTAGACATCGGTATCGATCGCGGCGGGCCATTGCCCGCCGCTTGCACTTTTGGCAGAGCGACTTGCATCGCGCGATGCAATCGCAGAGTCTGACCACACATCCAATCATTTCGTCGACGCTGACTGAGCGATTGTTCACCGTGACAATGCCTGCGTTCAACATTATCGCTTCGTTATCTCGCTATGCTCCTCATCTGTTTATTTGGCTATGTCATTGCTGCCTCAAAATAAGAAAAAACTTCTTGTTTTGGATATTTTATCTTCCTTTTCTTGCAGAAGCTATATTCGCATCGCTGCGTTTCTTTTCGCAAGAACAAAAAGCCGGAGCGCCGGATTCTAACGGGCAGATAATGGATTCCATTTTTCGGGTTCTGTGCCGTTTCTTGATGGGTTTTTTCTTCATCTTCCACCACCAATGGGGGAAGTAGTGTAGTGGCAAGTGTAGCTGCTTACCACGCGCGCGGTCTGGGTATCAAATCCTGGATGCGTCGTCTTCGCCAGCGGGCCTTCTACCCTCCGGGTTCACTTAACTGCTACAGACTTGTCTGGGAAAATAAAAAAAATACTGGCCTGTACATTGGCTGGCTCCCGCAAGTAATTGTATAGGCAAAGCCGAATTCAAATTCTCACTAGATATTGACGTGGACCGATAGAATGCTGGCGCATCCCAAACCGGGAATGATCTTTTCCCGTATGCTTCATCCCTTTTTTATCCCTGCACCACTCACCGCCTCTATCTTGATTTTTGAAGGGCTGCCTTTTCATCGCAAACTCTGGCTTCTAATCAATCAAAGCCTGTATTTTTGTCAGACTTAGTACTTATTCACTTTACCTCCAAAAGCTTCCTTCTTTATCCATCTTTTTTGCATTTTGTCCAGTTTATGTTTATCCTTGCCCTTGAATTGTACGCTCGGTGTTATGCTTGCACAGTGCAGAAGTTTTTATCCCGTCCCTGAGAAGCACATTAAAAGCTTAATCCAATGATACCTTATAGGTGCGCTGCGCATTTGACCGTAGCCGGAATCATGAAGATGTTTGAATGCGTGTTTGATCTATGCAATGACCCATGTGGACCGAGCTCTTTGAGACATTCCTTTTTACAGACTCCCAATCATGCCTCATCAAAAGTCACTCATGAAGAGTGAGGGACGCAGCTGACCGCCGTGGTATTCGAACCCGTGGGCTAGGCAATTGAAAGCCATCTAATCACAGCTTCACCTGCTTCGGTATCCTACTGAGTAATACTACAGAAATGAAAAATGACTTGTGTCGATTTTGTTGCTGATTCAGAACTAAAACCCCCAAATTCCTTTCACTTCCGTTGTTCTGCGCTAGGTTCGCATCGACTTCAGTATTCATGAATGAGCTCCTCTGACGATCGCCAATGGACGATGTGCGACTCCTTCGCATAGCACACTTGAGCGCTAAGATTGTCACCACATTTTCTATTAATAAACTAGCGAATATGCTCAATTTTCACGTGCATCTCCTTCTCTTTTTAGCCCTACGTTATTGCTAATGCCATCGTTATTTGTTATTTGTTAGACAAGAACTTTGTCTGAAGCAATGGGATGAGAACCGCCCATGAGGGCGATGTAATTCCTGCCCCATTCCGTTTCGTCGTTTTCCAATCGCGGACGTATTCCTACACGTGTTTTCTTCGTCCAAATGTTCCAACATGCTTCAAATTTAGTCGCACACGTTCTATGTGATGATCGTATAACTTCGTATAACACGGCGGTCTCCGCCCCCCGAACACACTCTCTAGAAGAACGTTATCAATGACGGTGCAACAACCATGCCTGTTCGTTAACACATCATTACTTCAGAATAAACTTTGAATAGATGGTCTAAATTAATAATTACAACTTTCATCTGAATGTGTAATAATTCTGGACAGACATAAGGGATAAAGCATTTGCCGTTGATCAATCCCTTTTGGGATGCGGCACGCATTCTACTTCCATTTGTACATTCGTAGTGGCGTTTGAATGCGATGTGGCCTATACAATGACTTGCGGGGGCCAGCCGATGTACAAGTCAGTGTTTTTATCCTCCCAGACAAGTCTGGTACCAATTAACCGACCCCGGAGGGATGGAAGGCTTGGTTGGCCCGGGCGACTCACGACCCAGGATTTGATCCCCGGACCGCTCGCGTGGTAAGCGTGCCACTTGCCACTACACCACTTCCGCCCCATTTGGAAGAGAATTTCAAATTATAATCATTGAACTATAGCATTTGTTCCTGAATAAGAAATTGCTGGGAAAAAATCCTCTTATGGGAAAAGAATGACAGCTGCTTCTTGCGTCTTTTATTTCAAGATTACCGTATCCTGGCTGACATGGACATTTGGCAAATGTGCAAGGCCACTTACGGTGATCATAAAAGAATTGGTATATTTTAATACACACCACACACTATTCATTATGTGATCATCTATTATATAATAACATCCAGATTTTGAATGCCCCTTTATATTAGGTTGCTCCGTAATTAGTGAATCACTTTGGGCAAATTTCAATTTGAATTTTTTTTCTTTTTCGCATGAACGCTTGCTCATTAACCCTTTGACGACCGCCGTTATGAATGCGTCACTTCACTTCTTTCTAAATTTTTTCATCAATAATCATTAACTCTCCAACAATTTCACTATTAGTAATTAGCGCATTATTCCGCGAATTCGATGATGTATTTGTGTAGTTTTGAAACATAAAAAATGCCAAAATAAACCCCTAAAAACGTGTCGCCACCGAGCGAAAGTGTGGCCCACCGGCGGGCCACACGGTCGTCAAAGGGTTAAACATAGCATCTTTGCTATTTACGAACTATTGCCTATACATAAGGATCCAGTCGCTGTCTCTTCTCTATAAATCCAGGAGCTATTGATCGAAGAAAAATCGGAAGTCGGGTTTGAGTAGTTTGTCACTTAGCGTGAAAATCTCTTACGTGAAGTGAGTGCTACGATAACGGTTAGCTGCCTTTCGCTGACACGAGGATAGGGCTCTCCTGAGTCTGCAGAACTCGCTACCTGATGGTCCACACAATTATGAGTATTTTCACATGGTGGGGTCGAGTGACCTCTAGAAAACCCAGCAATTTTGTCTGTTTACGCTTCATCGATTGAAGGCCATCGTTTTATTATGCTGTCGACGTTTGCCTATTCGAATAACCCTAGTATTACTGGGCGGCGGTTCCTAGCGCAAGGTCTTTCGTGCTCCCACTAACATCTCAGAAGTGTCGGACATAGGGAGGTTGAGGCTTTTGCTGTCAGAATTCTCTTTGAGCTAGCGCACTTTTTTGGGTTCCTTGTGGGTTGCAGCACGCCCTCCACTTCACAATATTCGGTTAAATACAACAGGATGAAAAATAGGAACTCTGGAATCAGAGAAACGGAGGTACATGCGTAAACCATGGCGATTTCATTGTCGTGTTTCGAATAATTCCAACGAAGAAGTGAAGGTTCAGTTCTCGGAAGGCAACATTGTGAATGGCGACTATTTGTAGCTAGAAAACGTGAATACTACCTTAGGTCGGAAGTAAATGTTTTACGCCTCCAAAGGAGAGATTTCTTGATTTTTTTATAGCAAAAATTATAGTGACATCACTTATTATCGGGACAGACCTAGTCATCAAAATAAGTCGCATAATTTTCGGCGCCCATATCTCGATTTTCCTAGAAATTCGATACATCACCGCAGCTGTGTGGGAATATGGCTTGCAATCTGGTGGCATCGTGTGCACCTCTAGTCAGTCGGTAACATACTAATTAAATGACCGACATTACACGAATTCTTACAGAATGAAAAGATCGAAGAAGATATTCACGTCTAACTCGAGGAACCCGCGACCTCTAAGCGTGGCGGAGCTGAAGCGCAATTGGCACCGAAGGAAGTTGACCTCGGCGACCTATTAAGGCTCAATCTTGGCGGGTGGGCCAGTGCACGCCCACCGATCATCTGATCACTCGCCGCAGTCTATACGTGGCGAGTGATTAGATAGGTGAGAGAGCGTAGTGTTGAAGAGGGCACAGCGATGATAGTCGCATCAATGCTCAAATCAACGGGCAAGGAAGGGTCCCATTTCTCGGTTCTGGGCCGTTTCTCATGGTTTTTCCTTCTTTCGTGTACCACTCACCATCGCTAACTTAATTTGAAATGGGTTGCCCTTTCCAGCGTGAATTCGTCCTTTAATTGTATACTGTCTGATGATGCCTAATTTAACGTGTGCTAAGGTAAGATGAAAAGGTTGGTGTTTCATATAGAAAGCCCTTGTGGAGTCAAAACTATGGCAGAAAAATGTAAGTGTCCCCCTAGATCCCCAACGATACGCTTGTCTCGAACATATGTAGTATACAGTAATAAGTATCCAATTCTTTCTCCTCTGTTAAGTGCGACAGTAACGATGTATCGAGTCTAAGCCCTTAAACCTTTTATCAAATTTTCAATGGTATTTACTTATTTCGCTCCTTTCTCTTGAATCCATATTCAACGAAATGGTCCTTTTTCATTTAATTTAATTCAATTGGTTTTCAGACACGTCATTTATCCTCGCCAACGCACAAGTGGTCGACTATCCGATTGTCTACTGTAATGACGGTTTCTCGCCCAGCTCGTCGGTACTCACGGCGAGATCATGCAGAAGCCTTGCTCGTAAGTTTCTGGGCATCTGTGGCGGATTAATCTGACTAACGACAAACATGGAACGGAAGATAGGCAGTGTTATCAAGCTACCAGACGCCCACAAAGTTTTCGGTGCATCATGTCCTAGACTTTTTCAAAAAGAGCTCGTTGCATGATATAGCAGCATACATGCCATAGAGTGATGTTTCACTTCTCTAGAGTCACCCCCCCGCTCCCTAATTCCCAAGAAAGGTGGAGGGGCGCTCGCCGCAACCTTCCGACCACCAATTTCTTTGAAACCTATAACTTAAGGTCAACAATGTCCCGATCGGTTTAATATGCCACCTTTTAAGGCGCGACCACGCATTTTTCGACACATCGCAAGCGCCAATTAAAACGCCGCAATTTTTTATTAACTCAGGGGAATCAAACCGTTTAACCGAATTTCTCCGTTCTTTATTCGTGTGGAACGGTCGCATCAGGAACGAAGTTCCCGAGCGACCGTCCACAGCACGACACCCCTTTCTTGGCATTGGGGAGGGGGTGCTCTAGACACGGACTAAAAGAACGCCAAATTAAATATGTCTATGCTCAATTACGTGCCTCCTTCGCGAAAGAAGAAGCGGAGAATGCTGAAGCCTACGCCACTGAAAGGTCATTCCTGTTAAAACGGCTCCGTAACTATGAAGCACCCACCATAATGAGCAAAGGTCTTGTTACCTGTTCGGAGTTGCCTACTCCTTCACGCGCGACTTCGATCCTCCATCAATTAACTCACCAGCGAAGGGATCGTAAAGTGTAACTTATGGCGCAAAAAAAAATACCCTTTTCCCTTCAAAGGATTTTATAAGATAGAGTAGAGGTGAGAATGAGGCATGTGAATTGCCTCAGTACTGGGATCGTGTGGGATAATGTGCAAGAAGGTTAGACATGGTTAGCCGAGCTATTACACGAAAAAGTCTGAGCGCGATCGGGAATGCATAATACAGCCGAGGCACACCGAATCAATTCCTTGCTGCCAGGAAGCGAGTGTAGGCGCTGCACAAACGGAAGTTCGCTGGTTGCTGAGCAGTACTTTGAATGCATCCACCCCGAAACGATCCGCCTACCTTGTTTAGTTTAAGCTGCGTGATTTGGTAGCGAAAATAGCGTTGGCCACGCAGCGCACAGTGCAAGGCAATCGCCTTTTAAGGGGGATGCACAACTCCATTTGGCGCCTCCCATGGTTTACTGGGGTTGGGACCATTCTCGAAATAATATTGTGGTCGGTCAAATGAAATGTAATCTTTTTCGAGCTTTGTAACATACCTGCCCTTCTAGCTTTTTGAAGGCACGGGCGATTAATCCTTGGAAAAATTCTCCCCCGAACGAGGATCGCAAGACTCTAACCTGCGAAACGATTTGAATTGCTCAAAAAGGAGCTAATGTCCTTGCTTGACCGCTGCGACCGCTGCCATTCTTATCAATAGCGGCGAACGTGGCACATACGTCGTCCCGCGTACACGTGCTCTCTCGCGTTTTCTCCTCCTCCTCTTCCGCAGTGCAGGTCTCTCCGCGCACTCACGGTCACAACCTCAACTAGCTTCCGCTCCATGCCCACGTTTTTGCTTTTTTCTCCACTTTTTCCCACTTCGGTGCACGTCTTTTCAACTTTCCAACAAAAATATCGTCCCAATTCGCATCTTAAACCATTCCTGTGTAAAGATTGTTTGATGAAACAAAAGAGGCCTTATTCTAAAAACTATGATTAATCGAGTAGAATTGCATCCTGCGCACGGTGAGCACCGAGATCATCCGAATTTCGTCCGGATTCCACAGAAGCCCTGGACAATCGGGCCGAATGGGCCCGGCGACCAAGCCGAAATGGACTTTGTACAAAAAACATAACGTTCGTCTCAAGCCGAAATCGGACTTTGTAAAAAGAACAGTACGTTTACCTTGCTCCACCTTTTCCATTGCAAATTTCTTTGGATTAGTTGGAATACTAGATTCTGTTTTTTCAAAGCCTCATTCAGTATTGATTGTGACATTCCAGAAATTCTCAACATCTCAAAAATCCAGTGCATTTCTTTGTGAAAATTGGACGAGAAGAGTAGTTTGATTTCAGAAACGCCTATCTGGTTGTTAGTTCACTTGGCACCAATTAAAAACGACAAAGACTCGGTGGTTCTCTATTTGTGCCAATTTAAAGACATCACACCGCTTAAGCAACCGTTGGACGATGAAAACAACAAAGGTATGTGAGGGCTTGCCAGCTCAAATGTTGAAAATTGTTTTTGAGGTAAAATCACCGGACCACTATGCACTGCGCCCAAGGCTGAATAAGAGTCGCGTGGTTGCTAAGCTGTCTCCCAAATTCTTATTTGTTAAGGGCATCAGTTCCAACTGACAGCAACGTGAGTACTCACTCAGCACCGCCGAACAGTAGCGCTGTTGCGTTGCGCATGGGGAGAGTCGCATTCGGGGGATGGGTGGAATAATAATTGGATAATTGGGTAAAAAAGTGGGTGGAGTTGGAAGCTGTCTCGACTGGTCTACAAGGGAGGTCGTTCAGGGTGTGCCAAGCTTTTTCAAAATGGTTTCTTGCATGACATTGGGGCACATATGGGGACCACAGAACATGGTTCATTTTTCCTGAACGGCCCTCTGAATACCAGAAAAGGGTCCCTAGTTCGATTCCTCGTGGTGACAAATTTTTGCATTTCGAGTTGACGTTTCCAAATTCGCGCAAAATGGAGTTAGCATGAATAATTAGTACCAAATTCATGATTAGGACCGTCAGTAACCCTTACAAATAGACTTTGATTGAAAAACTGGTGAAAAAGGTGTGACTAGGGACCCCCTTTTCTGGTATTCAGAGGGCCGTTCAGGAAAAATTAACCATGGTTCTGTGGTTCCCGCATGTGCCCCTATATCATGCAAAAGACCGTTTTCAAATACTATAGAAACATTCATTATGGCGAGGTTATACGATTGGTCGCGGTTAGTCGTATAAGGGTAGCCTCCTGAGTCTCAGGGTGGTTTGAGCGGTGGTTCGCATGGAGACCCCTCTAAAAGGGGGGGGTCACGTCATTTTTGAAAAAGGGGGGTCGCGAAATTTTTGAAAAAGTGCAAATGCACGGTTGACCCTGTGCTGAAATCCGCGCAATCGCAAATTGATGGCGTGTGAGGGCATCAAAAATCACAGTCTCCAATCTCTCGTAGGTTAGGCGTTCGGCTGTTCGAAATTCGGCCTGGAGATGGGATTACGTCATAGTTCGGACCCGTTTTGGCCAAAGACGCATTTAGTAACCATGTCTATTCCTTAGTGGCTTCATCAGATGAAAATAATTATTTGTGTAACACATCACATTAACTTGTCGAGGAGGGTCAGCCTTCAGAACAGCGTATCCGACCCCTCAACATGTGCTGCTGAAATTGCGGGATATGGTCAAAGAGTAGTAAGAGTAGGGGGACTCGAGAAGGGTTCAGGCCTTTTAAAACGTTGACAACCGTGTGACACTTGCCGCTCTATCACACCAAGAAGACTCGTTTCGAGTAACTTATTCGCCCGTATTTGGTCGAGTCCGAAAAGGCAGTCTGTTCATAACCGCAAATGAAATCTTTGAAGGGCTGACTATTGTAATTGTGCGAAAATATGAAAAAAGAAGTCGCAGTACACGCACGGGTCAGCAGGCCAAATGTTGCGCGCGTCGCGTTCCATCCTCCACCTTTTTGCTCCACATTGCCCTTGTAGATGTGTGGCTGTAGGTGTAATCATGAAACTGCTATGAAATCGAAATACTGCAGGCCTGTCTCGGATTCTCCAAATTGCTCGGATCGCCAAATCCAAGCAGCAATTCAATCAGATTGAGACCAAGGACCTGCACAAGTCGACGACGTCCGCCTCGTCCAACTTCACCCAGGTCAGCCCACAGCCTCACTAGCAATCGATCACGTGGCTAATCGATTATCGATCACGTCATCGATTTTGTGATCGTTCTCGATTCTTCTTCGTTCTGTGCGAGAGATTCCTCAGTACTGAACTGAACTAACAG